CCACCATGTAGTCTTTGCTCTGGACTCCTGTCATGACAAAAATACCTAATCACATATCCCTTTTAAACAGTTTTCTCCCTCATTTGTTTCAATGCAGTATACATTACTGAACCCATCTTTCTCAGTCTATCCCTAACCCCAAGGTCAGTCCTCTTTTACAACAGTGGCACCATGTAATATTTGTCCTTTTGTGACTGAGATACTTCACTCAGCATAATATCCTCCGTGGTCACCCATTTTGAATAATATTACATGAGTTCCTTGTTTTTCAATGCAGCATAGTATTCCATTGTGTGAATATACCAGAGCTTCTCTATTCATTCGTTTGTTGATGGGCACATAGGTTGTTTCCAACTCTTGCTATTGTGAACAAAGCCACGATAAACATGGGTGTGCAAACATCTGCTTGGATGTCAGTTATGGTCTCTTTGGGATATATTCCCAGTAGTGGAATTGCTGGGTCAAATGTAACTTTTTGAGAAAGCGCCATACCACCTTCCACAGTAGTTGCACCACTTCCTTATCTTTTACGGTGGTTTTCAAGCTGAAGTTTCTTCTATCAGACAGTAGTACTGCTAATCCTATTTTGTGTGTGTGTGTGTGTGTGTGTGTGATTTACTTAGTATTTGATTTGTTTCCTCATCCCTTTTTTTTTTAAACGTCCATTCATAAAACTTTTATTCCACTTACATCAATTTAATACATGTTCTTAACAATTATGTTTGGATTGTTCATGAAAATTTCATAAGACATTAAACAAAGCTAGCCATCATCTCACGTTATTTCCCTGTTAACTATTTTTACAGCACATGCATGTTAGGCAAGTATCAAAAAAAAAATCACAAAAGCAAAAAAAACCTAAAAAAGTTAAATACATGGGTTTTTCTGTTTACTGCTGTGCTTGATATACACGAAATAATGGATACCAAGCAATCCATTTTTACTGCATCTTTACTTGTACATTTGTTCTTAGGTTGCCTAAAACATTTAAATACAAATAAAATGAGTGTAGCAAAAATAATAAAAGCAAACAGCAGGTAACTTGGAATGTGAACCGTTTCTGCCCTTCTCCAGAGTAAACTGGGTCACAATTTTGTCTAAAGGAACACTTCTGCAGCTGTAGCCAAACGTGTGCACACTGAGATTGTTTATTCCATAGATACACATATGGTTCAACATGTATTATTCATGGTGTATCTACTTCTCCTACAGCTTTGTAAGTGCTCCAAACCCTAAAGTACCCACAGTAACTACCCCTGTGACTGAAACCAATGATCCCTTTTATCCCCCACCAGGACAAACCAATATGTAGGCAGTTTCTTTGCTTAGACATGGAAGCAGTTTTAACACTGGCCCGTGTGAAGCCACAATGCACCAAAAGTACTACGCCAAACATTTATAACTTGTATAAAAATTCCACATCCCCATATTGGCCATCTCAGGATGAAAACAGGTAACTCGCTAAATGTTAACTGGCTCTACTCCCCTAATATTAAACATAAAAACCACATGGGAGATATAGAAATTCAAATAGAAGTAACATAAACCTGTCATAAATCGTAAACAAAAACTATTTGTGGGACAGCATGGATGACAAATGGTCTACTGTGTAAATTTTAGAATGAGGCAGACAAAAGTTGGAAGGCTGGTTAATTTTCCCCTCCTTCTCCTGCTTCAGCTTCATCTCCTTGGGTATCCGATGTCCACAATGTCAAGTTGTCTCTCAGTAGCTGCATTATTAGCATGCTGTCTTTGTATGACTCTTCGCTTAATGTATCAAGTTCAGCAATGGCTTCATCAAAAGCTGTCTTTGCAAGAAAGCAAGCTTTCTCCGGGGAGTTAAGAATCTCATAATAGAACACAGAGAAGTTAAGGGCCAGACCCAATCTGATAGGATGTGTTGGTTGCACTTCCTTTTTGCTGATTTCAAAAGCTTCTTGGTATGCTTGTTGTGACTGATCCACAATCCCTTTCTTGTCATCACCAGCAGCAACCTCTGCCAAATGATAGTAATCGCCTTTCATTTTCAAGTAGAAGACTTTGCTCTCTGCTTGTGAAGCATTGGGGATCAAGAATTTTTCCAGAAGTGACAGTACATCATTGCAGATATCGCTTAGCTCCGTCTCAATTTTCTCTCTGTATTCTCGAGCCATTTGCTGTTTTTTCTCAGCACCTTCCGTCTTTTGTTCAATACTTGAGACGACCCTCCAAGATGACCTACGGGCTCCTACAACATTTTTATACGCAACTGAGAGAAGATTCCTCTCCTCATTCGATAATTCCGCTCCTT